TCCGCTCCATACAGCGTGCTGGGCAACTCGGATCGTGCGCAACCCCCTAGCGCTGAAGAGTCGAAGAAACCAAGGCCCAGCGAGTGTGTTATATGCAGCTTTCAATCGCTCAGCGAAGATCATATCGTCAAAGTCAATAGAGGCACCCACAACGTCCCCATTCTTCGCTGGACTACCGCTCGGTTTCCTGCTTTTCCCGCGACTGCGTTTGGAGCCTTTTCTAAGGGTAGATGATATCGTCATCTGTTCTACTCGATTTCGAGGCTCCTTTCTGAGCGTTAGCCATAGCCTGGCTTCCTTTTCCCCGTCTACTTTCTTGCCAGAGTCCCATCGCCCCCGCTCGTGACCATCACCACTACGGGTTCGTATGATACCTTGCGCCTCTTCATTTCTCTCGAGCCTGCTCCTTAGATCAAATTCACCCTCGCTAGCTACAATTCCGAGAACGTGTTTTCCCTTCTTGTTGTCGAGTTCTTCCTTGTCAGATCCGTACGTGGATTGGCGCGGCCTCGTCTTTGGCCTCGGAAATTCTTTTCTCGGGCTGAAAGGATAAGGGGTCTTGATGAAGTGAGGAGGGAGATGTGCAGCCCGATTTAGGTCTGCATGTCCGGTTTGTAAAGGTGAAAGGGCTACTTGGCGGTCCTCGGAAAAGGAAGCAGGTTTCGATTTGGGTAAGATGCCGAGATGGTGAGAGAAGGAGCGAGAACGGCGCTGAATTTGAGACAGCGAGGTTGTGGAAGGGAGTGCTTCGAGGGCTTTCATTGTGATTACGTGGGCATTGAGAATGGAATCCGTCCGGATGCTTTTCGATGTGCTATGTCGATGTCGGCCTCGAAAATCGGCGTTTGAGCGAGTTACCGCGCCGCTGCCTCTCCCCGGTAATTTGGGAAAAGGTTCTAGCAAGTCTGACACTGGATGACCATTGTCAGCGTCGTTGCTCATTAGGCTTTCACGGGGGGTGCATCTTCCGGCCGATCCTGAGCCTCGATTGTGAACAAGTCTAACTTTTCCAAGGCGGCGCAGAGACATCTGGCTTGCTTGATCGATGCCTTTGCTTTTGGGTGAGAGGTTTTGAGCGCTGTTAGCATGGGCAGAAATCACGCCAGGCATCTTGTCGCTTGTTGTACTGGTTTGTTGCCTTCCTCTTGAAAAATCATCTAGTTCAGCTTCTGTAAAGGTAGGTTCCTGGTTTAAAAGGTTCGTAGTTCCTGAAAATTCGCGCGTTTCGTTGTCATCTTCCCACTCGGAACTGTTGTTGTCGGAAGAGTCCTCAAAAAAGTCAGGACCAGGGGAGTCGTACTGATCCATGAGATGGCTCGTCTCTGGTCGGATAGATTTTTTCCGTGTCGGCGGTGGCTCGACCAAACGAGGCGAAGAAGCAGGACTAGAAGATAGACGTGCAGACGGATGACTTAGGATGAGCGTTTGCACCTGGGGCGTTGGAGAGTTCGAGGGCTGTCTCGGGGCCTGTGGGGGAGGAGAGTCCATGTTGCACTGTAATCTAGTCCGTAGCTCGCCGAAATCAACCAGAGCTCTACCTCAGTGTCTTATCCTGACGCACGATGAATGAGACGAAGCAGCTGAACGGCCAAGGACCCGACGGCGTACTAGAGTGGTTGTAGGTGGAAAACAAAGAAGGCATTTGTCCGAAATGGTCTTGTTGCATTCCAACGTCCCTTGATGAAGAATGCTACCTCGGCACCAGCGACGACAAGTTCTGCATGCGTACGTGGTAGTGAATTCGAATTTGGGACTCTATGCCTACGCGTCTATACGTCTATGAATGTGGTGACAACCATCTAATCTCCATCACGGTCGAACATGGTGGTCATTGCCTTTTGGGCCAGCTCCACCCCCAGGAAGGTCGCGGCGTTGGCGGGCACTGCTCGCGCCATGGCAGGGCCCATGCCGGGAAAGAAGGCCTTGAGCCCACCGCTGGCGTGGATGCCTTTGATGGTGCCGCCGATGGTGGGGCGGCCCTCGGCGCTCTGCAGCCTTGACTTGACGGTGTCGATGGGGAAGACGGGGATCCACATGGCGATGCCGGCAGCGCCCCCGGCCACCATGACGGCCGACAGCGAGAGCTGGCCCGGCTGGCCCGTCACGGGATCTTTGGGGGTGAGCCTCCTCTTGATGACCTCGTAGGTGGCAAAGTAACAGGCAGAGCCTGGGCCGTCGCGAGCCAGCGTCATGGCCGAGCCGCGGAAGACGGAGCGGACGCCTCCCTCCTTGTACAGCTGGCGCACAACGTCGACGCCGCCCGCGTATTTGGGCTTCTCGCCGGGCGCGAGCTGCTTCTGGCCCTGGATCTGCAGCAGCACCTTGACGCGCTCAAAGGGCGCGGTGATGAGCGTCATGGGGATGGCGCTGAAGAAGCCGGCGGCGGCGACCTGGGCGACCGAGTACTGGCCGTGTTCGACGGTGGAAAAGGACGAGACGAGCTGCTTGCCGACGTCGTAGCCCCAGAAGGAGACGGCGACTGGGGGAGGTCAGCAAGCAGAGCACGGCACCGACGATGCAGCATCTGGAGGGACTGGGAGAGACTCACACATGGGTGTCACGCCCACCAGCGGCGCCGACACGCCGGCATACAGCCCCCGCGCAAGCCCTTCACGCGCAATGGTCCTCCTCACCACGTCCATGGCGCCGCTGTACACGCCCTTCTCGGCCGTCTGCAGCCGCACCTTGACCAGGTCGAACGGATGGCCCACGACGACGGCACACACTCCTCCTACGCCGCCGGCCACGAGCGCCCGGAGCGACTGCAGCGACGACTTGGTCGCGGCCTTGACGTCCTCCTTGAGCTCCGCCGGCGAGGGCAGCTTCTCTGTGCCCGTCATCGTCATCGTCGTCGTCGTCGACTGGTGCTTGCTGGCTTGGTGGTGGGCGCGATGCGGCGTCGGGCGTACTCGAGTTTGTGTGGGACCGAGGGACGCTCTCCAGATGTCAGCAGAAGCTCTGGGCGGACAAGGTCAACGCAGACAGCTCAGAGCAGACGCGGTGCAGAGAGCGATGCATCGGTTGAGGGAGGAAAAACTACCATTGACATGTGCCTGCGAGCGGTTCCAGCTGTCCGGGCTTTCTCTTCTGCCTCGGCTCCCGGGCCGATGCATGGATGCATCGATAATGGGTTCCATGATGCTATCCTCGCACGTGATTATTGACCCGCCCGGGCGACCAGACGCCGGGCTGCCATGATGTCATGGTGCATTGCGCTCAACACAATCCAAGGAATCGCGCACCATCAAGGGCCCCTTTGGAGAATGTCTGTCGGTGTTCAGCACTGCAAGCCATCATCACCACCGATTGATCACCACCACCACGCCTGCACCCCATGTCCACAACCGCTCCATCGCACACCGGTCCCGGCTTCCTGGCCTTCAACTCGCGCCCACCTCGCATCTGGCTCACGGCCCCGTCCGTCGACGCTCCAGAACGTGCCCTCCTCGACTGGCGCGACGAAGGATACGACATCACTCATCTCCCCTACAATCCCAACGACCACGCCAACTACCTGCGCACCTTGAAGACGCTCCACAATGACCTCAACCTCGGCGAGTCCTATGCCATTGTCTGCTACGGCTCCGCTGCGACTGCGGTGCTCAAAGTGGCCATGAAGCCCATGGCCAAGTGCTGTGCGATTGTGGCCTTCTACCCGACCGTGTTGCCGTCCCCAAAGACCAAGTTTCCGAGCCTACTTCAAGTACAGATCCATGCAGCTGGCAAATCTCAAACCAGCCCACCGAGTGACATGTGCGATTGGAAGCTCTATCGTTATGAGCACTGCAGCACGGGCTTCGCAGACCCGAGCGCGATATCATACTCAGCAGTCGAAGCCAACCTGGCTAGCAGCCGAGCGCTGGCCTGCGTGCGAAGCGCTATGAAAAGGGAAGTCGACCTGGAGCCGGTAGCCCAGGCTGCATGGAACGCAAAGTACGAGGAGACGGCGCCAGAACGAGCATCCATGGCGCTGGTGAAATCCACGACCCAGAACAGCCCGCATCTTACTATTCTGCCAACCTTGGAAGGTGGGGTGGGCAGGAGGAAGCTGGAAGAATTCTATCGTGAGTTTTTTGTTCCGAGTTTAGTGGAAGATTTCAAGATACGTCTAATATCTCGGACCATCGGCGTGGATCGCGTCGTGGACGAGATGGTCGTGTCCTTTACTCATTCTGACGATATCGATTGGATCTTGCCCGGGGTGGCACCTACCGGCAAATTCGTCGAGATTGCCATGGTTAGTATCGTGGCCGTTAGAGGAGGGAAGTTGGTCTCGGAGCACATGTACTGGGACCAGGCCTCGGTGCTGCTTCAAGTCGGCCTCCTGGACCCTACGATGGTACCGAAAAAGTGGAAGAGCGAAGGTCTGAAGCGACTTCCGGTGGCCGGCGCGGAAGCCGCGAAACAGCTCGTAGAGCCCCGGCAAGAAAGGTACAACACCCTACTTCGGGAGCATGGTCTTTTAGATGATTTGAATGGTGTAAAAAACATGAACGGTGATTGAGCGCTGTAATCTATGGACTCCTCCTTGTGGTATGTATAAGTCTTGTTATTCGCTATACAACGACAACGTCCAAATTGACAACCTTGGAACCTATATCTGTACTTAATCGTTTATAACTATTACTTCTCTGTACTAAATGGTGCAAGCTTACTTAATAGTACAGACTCTTGTTGTACGAAAAGTAGGATGTAGCGCAGCTGCCTAACCTTACTCTTGAGATAGCAAGAGCTTATCTTCTAAGTAAAGTTCTAGGGGCTATATCCCTCTTGGATAGGTCTTACGGTGTCTACAGTGAGAGCCTTTATTTGTATCCTAGTTTTCCACCACACGGGAGACAAGTATCTGTGTGTAATGGTTCTCGGCCCCGCACCTCGGCAAAATGACGCTTCAAAGGGTGGACTGTAAGACGAGAGCTTAGTCGAGATGACTTTTTGTGGGTATATAAAAAAATTAAATTCACATTCTCACAACAATTCAGACATCAAAGTTGAACGTCGCCCGCATGGCTAAGTGGTGAGCGAGCTCCGTCCAATTGGATTTGGTATTCACTGACTGGTATGGTAGGTATAGCGTCTCACTAGTAATGAGAACCTTCGCGGTATGAGAAGATCGGCGGTTCGATTCCGCCTGTGGGCCTTGGATTCTGCTTATTCCACCACCGGTGGTAGAGCGCTCCTTTTTTTTTTAGTTTCGCTCGGGGTTTCCCTGATCTGGGAAAAGCGAGGCCGACAACGTTTTTAAGCATTGTTCGTCTTATTCGTGTTCAGTCTCGGGGGTTTTTGGCGTGCGAGCGGGAGTCATCTGCAGCAGAGAGCGCCCAGTTCACAACTCGGTCGCCTCCGTCCACAATTTCCCGCGTCTCTGGAAGCAATGTCACCATCAATGAGCTTTAATTAGCGGTCGGGCGGTGGAAATGGCAATCCTCCTTTCGTGGATGTGACAGCCAATCACCGGCAACGCGTACCTGGGCCCGGGCGGCGGCTACATGGTGGATGAAAGGATGGCACGGGCCGCAGTAAGCAGTCGATGTTCTGCCGTGTTTCCTCGCCCGCCTGTTTCGCTCTCCTCTCTTCCCTCTTTTCCTTTCCTTTTCCTCCCCTCCCCTCCCCTCCGTTGGCCTCCCCACGCGACCCGGCTGTCGTTTGCCCTTCGTTCATCGAGCGCAGCCCTCGCAGTCACTCTTTTACTACGCCTAATTCACTCCTTATTTGCGTACAGTGCTTAGAGTACTACATTCCGCAAGAGTTGTACGAGACATTCCTTACGAAGTCCAGCCACCCTCAACCTCCTCGGCATCGACCGCCTGTATCTACCCCAGCCTGCGCCGTCGACTCCTAGTAATACTGTAATCCGCCGGTTCGCCATCGCCATGGTTCATCTACACGGCCTATCGCATCTCGCGCGCCGACAGCGCAACCGTCACCAGAATGACGACGACGAAGAAGAGGAAGTCACTGTCATCGTGACCATGTCCAACACGTTCACGGGAGACGTGGTATGGGTCACGCAGACGCCGAAACAGACGGCCGGCGCCCCGGTCCAGCAGACGAGAGTGAGCAGCAACTCCAAGCCGACCACTGCCGCCGCGACCTCGAGAAAGGCTTCCACGAGCGCCAAAGAAACCCGTTCCGAGGAGACAGCCAAGCCAACCTCTTCTCACGACTCTTCGTTCAGCTTGGCGGCTGCTGCTTCGTCCTCGTCCTCGTCTGACATCAGCACCCAGGCGGCCGTTGCGACCGCCGCGAGCAGTCTCGCAGCTAGCGTCGCCTCAACATCTACCAGTCCATCTGCAAGTCCATCTGCCGAAGCTGCCAGCAGCGGAGGCATGTCTGGCGGAGCAAAAGCCGGTCTCACTCTCGGTATCCTGCTCGTACTTGCCGCAATCCTCGGTGCCGTGCTCTTCGTCTACAAGCGTAAGAAACAAAATGCTGCCCAGCAGAAGGTGGATGACGAAAAGGCGGCCATGCGCAGCGCTCCACCCCCGCCGCCTCCCCAGGTCGAGGCCGCCCCGAGCGTTCACACTCCGCGCTCCGTGACTGCGGCGCCGCGTCTGAGTCTTCGTCCCGTCACCCAATTTGATCCCGCCTTCCCGAACCGCAAGAGCAACGGAAATGTGCTTGCCATTGCCGCAACTGGGCCCTCTCGAGAGCGCTCGCCGTCTCCTGATCGGGCGAAGAGCCCATGGGAACGCCCAGGTGCCACAAATGCTGCTGCTCCAGCGAACCCTTTCAACGACCCACAACCACGCTCGAGCGGTTCGCAGGATCCTTTCAGTAACAACGCCGCCATTGCAGCCCAGACTTCTGCCCCAAGCACGCCAACTACTGTCGATCAACCAGCTACGCCCGGTGCCGAGTTTGCAAACCCCGCCCTCGCCATCGCTGCCGCCGATGCTACAGTGCTCCAGACCCCCTCCACAGTCAAATCTGCCATCGACAGCATTCCCTCAAGCCCCGCTTGGACCGAGGATATTCCCGCTTCTCCAGGTCCTGCTCCATCTGGTCCTTTGCCAGTTGCTACAACTGGACGCCCTTCCAATGGCCCCAATTCCGTACAGAATAACGTCCACCGGATTCAGCTAGACTTCAAACCATCCATGGCCGATGAACTAGAGCTGCGAGCAGGTCAGCTGGTCCGAATGCTTCACGAGTACGACGATGGGTGGGCTCTTTGTGTACGTATGGACCGGTCACAACAAGGCGTGGTGCCTCGCACTTGTCTCTCCAAGAATCCCGTGAAGCCTCGCAATGGACCGCCTCGGCAAGGTCCACCTGGCCCTCGCGTGCGTGGAGCCCCTGTCGGCCATCCAGGAGTCCCCCACCCGCGTCCTCTCTCACCAGCCACTGGGCCCAATTCTCCGCATCCGCCCTCCCTCTCTCCGGGCGACGGTCGCATATCTCCAAGCCCCCGTTCCATGAGCCCTGGCCCACGTCACATGCCATCATCGCCTCAGGGACGCGCCCGATCAAACAGCAACGTCCCTTACGCTGGTCCTTCTCGTTCAATGTCTCCCGGCCCTTATGGTGGAGGACCGCAAATGTCTCCACCTAACCTGGCTCGCCCGCGCTCGAATTCTGCCGGTCAGGTTGCGGCACGCCGTGCGCCGCCGCCAGGCCCGAGCCCTATGAATCCCAACGCCAATGCACCGCTGCCATCAAGAAAGCCGCTTCCAGGCCAGGCACTATAACGTGGCCGTGGCGTAATTTCCTCTATGGTGTCCACTTGGTCTGACGGAGCCTCTTTCTCTCTTACTTACACTCTTCATTATTCATAATTTCTATTCTACCGGTACTGCTTCTAACGACCATTGATCCCGAGGTTAGTTGGAGGACAGCCGATGCTCATATTGCTTCAATCTTATACCCAGCCCTTTGCCATTTCATCTTTGTTTCTTTGGCTGTCGCACGAAAGCCTCCATGACTGTTGTACCTGTTCACACCATTGGCAGGACTTGTTTTATCATATCCAGCGGGAACTACTCCAAGGGTGTCTTACTTGCTATGGACTGTATGTGAAAGAAACCCAATCTTCCAGTGAATGACAAAGGCGTTTCCAATTCAGTTTTGTAGCTAGCTAATTCACGATGCTATATGATACGAGCAAACCCCACCAGCAATTCATCGCACAACCATACGCACCAACACGTTTGTCATCAGTCAATGAAGTTGGAGAGATGCAGATCCCCCCGTGCTAACATCGATACACATGCGTAAACGCGCAAATGGATGAAGCAGACGCATTAGCTACTAGTTGCCAAGCCCAGTGCCTTTCCTTTCTTCTTCTTGTTCTTATTCTTGCTCTTTTTGGTTGCACCAACATCGCCGTTGGTGCTATTCGCTGCAGCAGAAACCGTATCAGCACTTTCGAAAGCGGTAGGACTGGGTTTCTCGGTCGGTGACGTTGGCGAGCGGGACACTTCGGATTGCACGACAGAGTCTGTGCGAGTGTGTGTTTTCTCGTGTGCAAAAGAGGCAGCACTTGGGTCTTTGCCCATGTTCTGCCACGTCTTGCTCTTTTCGAAACCAAGCTCATCTGTGAACGGCTCGGGGGCATCGATTTTCCTCAGAGTAGGGTCGATCTCGTCTAATGTCAGACTTGCTGCGCGAACAAGTGGAGGGGTTTCAGTCGTCTCTCGAACTGCTTCCGGCCCCTTGCTGATGATCACATTCCCTGTTCCAGACTCATTTCCCCCCGGAAGTGACGCGTGGGCTTTTCCAAAACCGTCTTCCATGGTGGGAGGTTGAGGTACTGTCATTGGGCTCCCCTTCGCCGAATCCCCCGCGTACGTATTCACTATAGCCTGCATGACGACTTGACGGAATCTACGATTCCCCTCAATCTGGTCCGTGAATGCAGCCTTAGTAAACAGCCCAGGCTCTTCGGCGGCAGCCTTCTTGACAATTTCTTCAATGTACAAAGGGAGCCAGGTCTCGTCTGGAGCCAGAAGTGGAAATGCGTTCTCACGAGCTACGGTGAGAATGTCGTAGATGGAAAGTGAGACGCCTAGTGCTGTCACCTGCTCCCTCGCCAATTTCGCGAGTCCAGGCAATTTCGTGCGTATGGCAACTGCATAGACACTGATGCTGAGCCGGAAAGGAGAGAGCGGGTCTGTATTCTCCAAGGTGTGGTATGTGTCTTGATATGTCCCAGTGTATAGGTAGTGTACCAATGTGTGAGCAGTCGTCTCCTCCAGGTCTGGCAACGTAATAGTGTTGATTCTCTCCTCATTCCAAAGTCTTAGAGTGGGATTTCCATCAAGAATGGCTGATTGTGACAAGATCGAACGATGGACACGGAAGCGACTCTCGCCGACGTCGAGTGAGATGATATCAGTATCAGCGTACGGCGATTTTGGGGACATTTTGTCCACATGTTGCATCGATGGGCCATTATCATTGTTCGCTCGAAGAGCTTGTTCAGTGTTGACAAGGTTCAAAGAGGGGCAGTACTGAGTGGCTGACATGGCGGAGTGGGATTGATTCAAGCCTATCGCAAACTCGTCGCAGGTCAAGATGCCACCATCCTTTTATCCTTTTGTTATCCAGAAACGGACCACTAAGATTCAAGGGGACGCTGTCACCGTAAGTGTGCCAATATGCTTGATGAGCTGGCAGTTGAACAAAACTCCAGCCTTGTGAGGGCACTATTGCGGTTCGTCAGCCTTGCTGCCCCTGCTGCATATGCAATGCAGCTATTCACATGACGATGAAACTAACTTTCGTATTCGATAAAACCGGTCAAGGAGGCATCAGAGCTGTAGAGGATTGGTTGTTTCGGTCAAAAAGAGGGTTTGTATCTTCGCTGACAGGAAGTCAAGGACGAGACTTGCCTATCGCAATGGCAAATTTCTAAGACGTCCGGCCAATAATGTTCTCAGAAATACTCATCTAAGCGATATTAAGTGCCAAATTGCTTTCCACACTGTACAAATTGTTGTAGTCCTAATATCATGTGGCTGTCTTCTAGCGCGAGCTTTCCTCACACACTGTAAGCAACACGACACTAAGGCGTTTATCATGCAGATTTTCATGTACCATATGGTGGCCAGATGAACTTTAGCCACATGTAAATACTGGCCTTGGGCCACCTGGGCGGTGCATGCATAAGTGTGCGTAGTTTCCTTCAAGCCACTAATA